GGGATTTTTTAAATAGTGATCAATTCACCTTAAAATTAAACTGCTTATGGTTGTCGTCAACTCAGTGTGGGCACATTAAAATGCTTTTCAAGCTGAATAATCTTTGTGGGGGATATTTGCTTTTGCTATGTGGCATTTGAACTTGTTATTGTGTTACATTTGAATTTGCTATTTGTACATTTGAATTTGTTACGCACAATAATTATTGTGCACTAAAATTTCCTATTGTACATTTGAACTTTTTATGTGGCGTGAAACTTTCTATGTGGTATTTGAACTTGCTATGTGACATTTGTATTTCTTATGTGTACATTTGATCTAAAAAAAAACTATAAAATGTCCGCCATACCGCCAGCGAACTGACCACACAACACCCACTGGTTGACTACTTAATTTTTTTTTCCACGGAAAAATCTCTCGTCTTTATCAGTCTACCATTTGTCAAGATGACCCAGCCCTAGCGCCAACTTCAAGCTCGTTCCAAGGTAAGTGCTATGACGGGGTTTGACTATAATATTATATCTGTATGTATACGTACATAATAAATATATATATATAATATAATAGCATTTGTATAGCGCATGCCCCCAATCGAAAGCAAGCTCTATGCGCTTTACTCTATATTATTACCTCAGTAGACCATAGAACACCCAGAAACATTCTCAGCTTCCCGGGAAGTATACAGTGCAAGCAGCTGGTTAAGCGCTCAAACACTAACAAACTGACAAGATCTTTCACTGTCTATAGCTGGGTACCCATTTTCACCTGGGTGAAGGGGGGGGGGGGGGGGGAATTCGTGTAAAGTGCCTTTCCCAAGGACGCAACGTCGGGCCCGCGGCTCGAACCCCCGAACCCGCAACCTCACGATTACGAGTCCTGTAGCCTAACCACTAGGCCACCGACGCCACACTTTAGGATGCAGCAGGTAAGTACCAGCCGGACACACTTGACGCAGTGATTTTGAGGGAGGAGCCGCATACAGCAAGAACAAAAGTAGTAGAAATACTTGGAAAAGTGACAGAGAAAAGCTGGGAAGGTCGTGATTTCACACGGGTGCATAGAGTGGGGCCCAAGAAGCAGAAGGACCGCCCCAGGCCTATTATTGCAAGATTCCAATATTCAGAGAGAGAGAGAGAGAGAGAGAGAGAGAGAGAGAGAGAGAGAGAGAGAGAGAGAGAGAGAGAGAGAGAGAGAGAGAGAGAGAGAGAGAGAGTGAGAGAGAGAAAGAGAGAGAGAAACAGAGAAGGGGGGGGGGAGAGAGAGGGAGAGACTAGAGCTTTGTGTGACTGACTTGAAACGGGAGGATACTGCAATAGCAAGCAATTTTACCTCCATTGTTTACCAAACTATAGATTTTTAAACTCTGGAATAGCAAGCAATGTTACCTTACTGTTTACCAATTATCAAGACGTAGTGGAATCAGGCGCTCGTCAATTTTGGGGCATGTGGAGTTATTGATACCATCTGAAAGCCTAATCATTTGCCTTGATTTCAGTAGAAAAAACATCCATCTAGCTTGAATAGAAGTTGAGATATTTGCGACTGAAGAAGGTGGGGTAGCCTGGTTTCAGTGGTTAAATTAATGAGAAAATGACCGCCAAAGTTTGGTAACTTTAATAGCGTAAGATTCCTTGAAAACTGAAAATTAGATTTACATATTTTGTGCTTTTAAACAAGGGTTTATATAGTAAAAGTCACATGGAATTCCCTTTTCATAGGAATATAAAGGGTGTTGGGCCAAAAATCAAAATGTCATAAAAATACGTAACTGGTGGAAAAAGGCCCTTTTATTCAATTTCATTATTTTGAAAAGCGCCTGATGTCACAATGACGCCTCACCTATACATTTTTAAACACTGGAATAGCGAGCAGCTGGATTAATGATAATAATGATAATAATGATAATAATAATAATAATAA